GTAGAATCAAAGTGATTGAAAGATGCAGTCATTTGAGACTCAAAACTTGACTGAAATATTTCTACGTGAAATAAAAAGGAATTCAGAAATATGTTTACTTGTTTGGTTCGGTGGAATGGCCCCAGTACATGGACAAACACTAAATCTTATGGGCAACTTTAGATTTACTCTATGTCTATGATTTGTGTTTAAATGAGAAGAGGTGAGTGGTTGTATGCAAAAGTGCATTGTGGGAACTGAGTCTACTTTCTCATCCTTAACCTTTCAGCTAATTTATGATCACACCCAAAGGAATGGTGCTTTTCTGGAGAGTTAATCAGGCGCCAGTCCTGTCAGGTCTCTAAGGAACTTTCTCATCCAATATAGATACACAATAAAGAAATCAGATTAATTCAAATATTGCATTGTTTCTTGCAAGTGCTTTTTCTTTGCAGAATAATTCTGAATATATCACTTCACTTTACATTGCTTCCTTTTTGGTTGTGTTCTAAGCACATACTCTAATTCAAGTAATTTTACCTGAAGCCTAACACATGATTCCAAGATAGGTGAATTTACCTTTTTCTAACAAAGGATCCAAAGTACATTTAGTAATATATTTGTATCCTTCATGAAAATTAATAAGGAGAAAAGTTTAACTTGTTGAAGGTGGTGTTCTGGCCTTGGCAATGTTTTTGTAACAACTGAGTTGTTTTCAGAATGTTTCTTAGAAAAATCAATTTCTTCCTAGCTAGGATAATGAAAAGATATCTATTATTAATGATTTTCTATTACATTGATATTTTCATCTCTATAATTTGGTTCCATCTGAAGAAAGAAAAATGGATTTTTGTATATGGGTGTACTTACATATAGAAATGTTCTTGTAAAATTTTTATAATAACTTTCAAATCACCACTTTTTATTTTTCAAAATTTCATCCCTTCCTACAGAGTACTTCCTCGTGGTGGTAATATCACCTTATCTAATTTCATGAGCAACAAAAATGCATTCTGTGTAATAAAAGTCCTCTCAATCCAGGATATCCCACAAAAATGCATACAGTGGTACTAAGAATGATGGGACAAATAAACAAACTCAACTAATAGAAACAGGATCAGCTGTGCTGTATCAAAAAATTAATAAAGTATTAATTTAAGTATTAAATACTTAAAGTGTTAAGTAAAAAATACTTTAAAATATTATTTTAAATTTGATAATCTTAAGATAACTTATTATGTTAACATTTGAAATGAGCATTTGCAAAAGAAGCCCTCCTTTTAGTGACTTCCTATTTCGATTACATTCACAGTGCAGTGTGAGCTATTGAAATGTACACAGCAATGATAGACTCTGTGGCACTATCTCCTCTTACTGTGTTAAAAGAATATGGGAAGTCCTCAGGCCCTCTAAATTGGGATTCTTTCTTCTGTGTCATTAGGAAAATGACTATGTCACCTAGGGACAACCTGTGACCTACTGCTGCATGCAGATTATTTGAGGACTGTTGCTTATCTGTGGTGTTGGAGATCACAAAAAAATATGCATGAACCTTTTCTTTGGCTTGTCAGCTTTCCTTAGTGTTTGTGTATTTACTGTGTGGCTCAAGACAATTCCTCTTTTTATAATGTGTAGCAGAAAAGAAGTGGGAGACCTATAATCAATGTAATTGTTTCCTAGTAAACACCGCAATGTTCTTAAATCTAAGAGCATGAGTACGAAACATTTCCTAAAACTGATTAGAGAATGAAACTCTCTGAAGTATGAAAAGCTCACTTAAAATACACAGATGGACACACAGCACACATCCTCATCTATTCTGATTTCTTGCTTTTCTGAGCTGAACGTGAGATATAATTATGAATATGTGATATATTTAACCAGTATACACATGTATAATCAGGGACCTAAAGAAGAGTAAGATTCTCTTATGTATGTAATATCAGCTAACTCTTTGAAATAAAACATTAAGACTTCTAAAAATTCCAATCGATGGATTTCTTTACTTGCCATTTGGAGTACAACTTTCCTAATATGTTCAATTACATTTTTTTCCTTTCACCTATAAACTATGTTCAGTAATTCTACTGTATTTATTTAGATGTCAACTTGTGACGTGTAAAATGTTGTGGATCTATTTTTTTTTTTTCTTTTTTAGGTCACTCCATAAAACTAAACTCTTCAGAGAAAGTGATTAAGAAATCCTGGGGAGAATTTATAAATTTTTAGAGAATTATAATTCTTGGTCCATTATAATTCTCACAATGGACCAAGGTAAATGACAGCCCTTATCACCATCCCATGACACACCATGAGAAAATTAACAACCCTTAAAAGTTCTGCTTAAATCTCATATGTATTCCAAATTCTCTAAAGAAGAATTTACCTAGAAGCTATTTCTGAGGTCAAATATTCAGGACTCTATTTTTTCAGTCTTCTAGAAAGGATTCTAAAACCAATTTCAGAGTGGTACAAGATTAGTTTGCAGCTACTAAGATGAAAAGAAGAAAGGAAGGGAGGGAGACAGGAAGGAAGTTGATGAAGCTTATGAAAATAAATGGATTTGGAGCACTTTGTTGTCATTTTTAATTTCACTTTATTGTACTGATGGATCTTGTTCTAGTCCCATTTTCAAAATTCCACACTGGAAAATATTGTCAATATCTTTAATCATGGTAAAGAGAATATCAACATGCAGGATGCAAAACAAAGGAACGAAGAAGAGATGTAATTACAAGCAAAGTGTAGAAAGGGAGTCTATCAGCAACATTGGGCGTAAAGCACAAGGAGGGAAGCTTCATTAATATGTACTCAAGTGACTTGAAAATTAAAAAAGAAAAAACAACTCAATAAGCGTAAAGCTAGAGAATTAGCAAGGAAAACTTGCATTTGGATGCTTACACTGCTTTTGTAAGTAA